AGAATTATCGAAGAAAGGATAATGCTCCTCGAGTTACATCTTGACACTCTCGAAGCAATCAGCGAATCTTTTTAAATTAGAGGATAAAAACTGAGAGCAATATTTTTCGTGGCTAATAAACTACTTTTGTGGTTATGAATTCGAAATATAAATCTCTGAGATGATATTGAATAATAAAAAAAGAATTTTGATAAATTTTAGTGCATCGAATTTCTTATATTGAATTCTCTCAAAGTTCAAAAGAAATCAAAATTCAAAATTCGTTGTACAACTGCATAGTTTAGCAGAATCATCTTCAATTTTTTTAATTTCTTTCAAAATGAATTCATAAATCTTCCACTAGTCAGGCAATTCTTGAACTTTTACATCATCCAAATTTATGAGATGCGGAAGAGCAGTAGATAATATAAAAATACTTTATTTATAAAAATTTATTACATGCCAACTCGAGACTTGTCATTGCTGCATCACATCTATACAAAATACATGAACTGTTAACGGCATGTAATTAAATCTTTAACACTGAGAAACGCAATTTTAACAAAACTTAAGATTTTCAGATTAAAAATTAAAATAACTTTTTTAACTAACATAATTATTGTTTTTGGATCTTAATAACAGTACAAATCATTCAGTCAATAATTTGGTCAGTATTTCTTCGAATGTTATTACAAACAATCGTTTGTATTTTTTTTCAACCTTAGTACAAAAGGCATCAAAATTAAGAATTCATAATTCTTTATTTCGTCCATTCGAACTTCCTACAATTATCATTATATCATTCTCTCGGAAAAATATAATCGAAACATTACATTATGGTAGGCAGTGAAAAATGAGATGAGTATCATTCAATTATTAAGCATTAATGCTTTTATAACGGAACAAATTTTTGTGAACATTAAAAGATCAAATTTCAAACCGAAAAGTAGATTTGTATGAGATGAAAGCAATCATTAAAGCATTTGGAAACAGAGTGCAATAATGAAATTTTTTAAAATAAAATGGAATACCATAGTAATTTTTAGTATTATTTGACCTTTTAAAATAGCTCCATATCGTAATTTTATAGTGAAAAAACAACCTTATTTAATTATTTTATGTTGCTGCGACACGAATCCATCGAAACGTCGCCTTGCTTCCAAGTAAAGCATCCCTTCTAAAATGAAAAATGATTGTGTTAAATTTGCATTTATAATTTTTTTATGCTTCATGATCAACTCTTCAAAATCAAACTGAATGTATTTGTTTGAGATTTATTTCGGAGATAAAAGTACTTCCAGAAAGGGTCACAATATTCCTTACATGATTGGTGTATGTTTTTAAAGGCCAGAATCTCGTAAAAGGGTACATACAGAAAGAATCGAATAATTTATTATCCATTCTTAGTATTCATATAGATGCTTTCAGAAAAAAATTAAATACCCGAGTACGAATACGGTATGACAGTTGGCACGGTGCGATCCGATCGAAATGTTAGATAAAATGTATTTGTTAACTGAAATTTTTATGAATTGAATTGAATTTAGTTAAATGGATTATACGCACAAAAAATTTTCCATCTTTTTTGTGTTTAATTTTATGCTTCCATCTGCGATGACAGTTATATTGATTTTTATTTATCTTTCATGAAAAGAGATGATTATATGGAATGAATTCTCCTTTATTCTAACTAAGAAAGAAAAAGATGTAAATAAGTGAGCATAAAGTACGTAAAAAGTGAGAAAGTGACGGTAAAAGTTTTCAAATATTGCAACGTATACTTTTTTTTGTCATAGAAGAACAATATCACATTTTTCATTGAGCGCATAAATTGTTGTAAAAAAAAAAGAAAAATTACTTCACGATTTCCGGTGATGACATCCAAAACTTCGGCATCAACAATAAGTTCCATGTAATGATCAGTACTGTAGCACACCTGTATGATATTATTATCTCTCATCACTTTTTAAACTTTCTCAGATTTTCTTAGTGTAAAATAATAAAGTATATTAAAAATTATTCGATATAATTATTGTGGGAGAAAAAAAAACACTGCTCTGTTTTACGGTAATAGCAGCATTGTTAGATATCCCGAATCTAAACCGATTCTTCCTCTNTTTTTTTTTTTTGGGATACGCGACAGTTTATAGTTATTGAAAGCATTGCAGTAAGTTAATGCTGTTTATGGAAATAAATCAAACGACATATGTCTTTCAATATTACGTCAAAAAATTTCACTTATGTATCTGTTAAGATATGCAATTAAGTGGCGCTAAAATACGGCAGAGAGAAATATTCAGCATGGGAGTTAGAATGTTCTTGCAAGCATTAGGCGAAATCAATTAGTACTTATCATATAATCATTTGATGGGATCCAAAAGAACATCATTCGGTCTTACTCAACCTATGTGTAATTGAATAATGAATAATGAATATGACGTATTATAATTCCAAATCTTGCGTTATAAAATATAAATAATATCTTATTTATGTGTTTTTATATATCAAATTTGAAAGCATTCATGGAATTAAGCGAAAAAAATGCTTAAAAACAGGATGATCGATTAGAAATTTGGAAATTTGATTAATGATCGTTATTAAATCACAAATTCTTCTTTTTCCCCATACTCTGATAGTTTAATCAAAACTACTGCATATTAAAAAACATAAAAAATTTGGAAATGTGATAAATAGAATGAGAAGGTTATTTATTGAGATC